ACATCAAAAAAAAATTATAATCACATGAGTTTTCCATTGCCATTTTGTTGCTGAGATACCAATCGATCTGAAACCAACGAGTTTTCCTCAAAAAACTTGTTTTGATCTAAACAAGCTAAACTTTGTTTACAGTAGACACCTAAAAAATGGGGATAATAGGGAAAATGTAAATGTAAACCACGTAAACTGTGACCATACTACGTGGAATTTGACTTAATTGATTACAATATGGAATATATCGAGATCCTGACCAGATAGAAAGTTAGTGTCTCCGATAAAGTTGTTCAGGAGATCATAGCCTTGTCGCTGGGGGACAGTAATTCAGAATTTTTTCACTACGTAGCGCTAGTATGCATATGAAATTCTCGCATGTGATATATCTCGAGATCCTGACCAGAAAGAAAGTTACTGTCTTTCACAAAGTTTTTCAAGAGGTCAAATCCTATTGCTTAGTGCTCAATAGTTTAGAATTCACTCACTACGCGACGCTAGTATACACGTGAAATTCTCATATAAAATATCTCGAGTTCCAAACCAGATAGAAAGGTACTGTCTTCGGCATAGTTGTTCAGGCGGTCAAGACTTTTTCGCAAGTGGACAGTAGTTCAGAGTTTTCACACTTTGCGGCGCCACTATAAATGTGAAACTCTTGTATATAAAATATCTCTAGTGCCTGACCAGATAGAAAGTAAATGTATTCGGCAAAGTTTTTCAGGAAGTACAGATATTTTTGTTGGGTGACAAAAGTTCAGAATTTTCTCACTATGCGGCGCTAGTATATACGTGCCTTTCTCGCATATTCAATAGCTCGAGATCTTGATCAGCTAGAAAGTTGCTGTCTTCGGAGATATATCACAGGCGAGAATTTCACATTTCACTAGCGCTACGTAGTGAGAAAATTATGAACAACTGTCCACGAGCAAAAATTTTGTGATATCCTGAACAACTTTGCCGACGACAGTAATTTTCTATCTGGTCAAGAACTTGAGATATTTTATATGCGAGAATTTCACATGTATACTAGCACCATGAAGTGAGAAAATTCTGAACTATCGTCCACCTGCCAAAAGATCTTGACCTCCTGAAAAACTTTGTGGTAGACAGTAACTTTCTATCCGATCAGGATCTCGAGATATGGCATATGCGAAAAGTGTACATGTATACTAACGTCACGTGGTGTGAAAATTCTTAACTACTGTTTACCAGCCAAAAGTCTTGACCCCTGAACAAGTTTGCCGAAAACAGCAACTTTCTATCTGCTCATGATCTCGAGCTATTGTATATGCGAGAATTGCACGTGTATACTAGCAGCGAGTAGTGAGAAAATTCTGAACAACTGTCCACCAACGAAAAGATCTTGACATCCTGAACAACTTTGCCAAAGACATTTACTCTCTATCTGGTCAGGATCTAGTGATGTATCACATTCGAGAACTTACAATGTATACGAGCACTAACTAGTGAGAAGATTCTGAACTACTGTTAACCAGTAAAAAGGCTATTGTCTCCTGAACAACTTTGCCGACGACAGTAATTTTCTAATTGGTCAAGAACTTGAGATATTTTATATGAGAATTTCACGTGTATACTAGCGCCACTTAGTAAGAAAATTCTGAACTACTGTCTATCAGCCAAAAATACTTGACCCCCTGAGCAATTTTGCTGAAGACAGTAACTTTCTATCTGCTCAGGATCTCGAGCTTTTGTATATACGAAAATTGCACGTATATTCTAACGCCACGTAGTGAGAAAATTCTGAACTACTTTCCACCAATGAAAAGATCTTGACTTCCTGAAAAACTTTGCCGAAGGCAGTAACTTTTAATCTGGTAAGGACCTAGAGATATTTTATATATGCGAGAAATTTAAATGTATACTAGCGCCGCGAAGTGATAAAACTCTGACCTACTGTCCACCAACGAAAAGGCCTTGACCTTCTGAACAACTTTGCCGAAGACAGTAACTTTCTACCTGTTCAGGATCTCGAGATTTTCCATGTTGTAATCAATTAAGTCTAATCCCATGTAGTACGGACACCTTTTTACGCGATTTCCATTCACATTTTCTCTATTAGTTTGTTTAGTTAAAAACAAGTTTTTTTTAAGGAATACCCGTTGGGTTCATATCGATTGGTAGCTCGGTTGCAAAATGGCAATGGAAAACTCACACTGTTGTATAAAATACAAAGCACGGGTACTCGTGTTAAAAAAGTTGGCGCGAGTAACGGAGGGTTAAATGAGTTGTTTATTAACTAATTTTTTTATCGTCCCTTGTTATTTTTTTTATGCACCGCCTCCTCGACCGATCGATCGGCCTTACTTTGATTTGTTTTAATAAAGTATTGTTAAAACCTTAGATCTAAAGGCTTCTACTAGAGTCCTCTCGAAAAACTAAAATCCTGCATATGATGATGACCCTCCAATAAAATATAGATTTAACTACCATCCTCTCGATCTATCAGTTTGCAACGACCCCATTCCTAGAAAATATTCTCAAATCAAAGATTAAATTGCTCCACTTATATCTTCTCGTTCGATACACCAAGTGGAAATATATCGTAACATACTATTCTCTCTTGAAGTCAAAGTCAATCCTCTTATCGCAATCGATCTGCCATCAACCATCAATTATTCCTTCCATCAGCATTTGTGGAAATGCAATCATACATACGTTACATGAGATTATCAAAGATCCCTACCCCATACCGTCTTGAATGTCGGTCGCAATCGTTCAGCACAGTTATTGTTCACCGTGAAATAATTTCAGCAGCCCCGGATTTGTGTACTAGTATTATATTGCACCGGTTCCGAAGAAACAACTGCGTCCCCCAGTTGGCAAAGACTTTGCCTTAACAATGTGTTGTGTGAATGCAAGTTTTCCCCGACCCTCAGCAGCCCAGCGGAAGGAAGCAATTTGGATGTGCATTTTTCGTACACACATAGTCAAAACACAACGAAATCCTACGTAATACTTTAATCTTTTTGCTGGTCGTAATCCGGCAGCCTGTTTATGCACATGTACACGGAGAGGAGGCTCAAAAAAAAAACAACGGGCACTATTTTCAAAAGGACTACCCAGTACCTAGCCGCAGCTCAGTGCCAAAAGATATGTACACAAAGTGCAGGACCTCCGATCCTCTTCAACTGTGATTTGGGGGGAATTTTTCATATGGAAAATTTTAGGTGAAAGCAAAACTAAGGTTACCTCAAGAGTGCTGCTATTGGGGCGGTACCACTCTAATAGTGGGTAGTTGTGATACGAATCGGAATAAACGAATGCATCAGTTAAGCTGCATGTACGAGATGCACTCGGTCGACGTTAGAGATTGTCAGTCTACATTAGAGATGGCTCTACATATTCGAAGTTCTAAAATGAACTCGAGTTTTATTTTCTTTCATGCATTTTCGAAAAATTCAAATGCAGTTTTTTTCGACACATCATTTCATATTGCAAAAAGCTCACGTCATTTTGTGTAAAGAGCAAAAAAAATAGAATGACGCGAGCTTTTTGCAATCTGAAACGATGCGTCGAAAAAAAAATGCATTTGAATGTTTCGAAAATTCATCAAAGTAAATTGCACCTTTGTAGGGCTTTCTCAGGACGCTGAAAAAATAACCAAAACAAATGGGGCACACAATTCAGCAGTTATTTTTAATGGAATTTCACAATTGAACATTCTAGCTATAAATCCATCTAATTAATTCTCGGTACATCTTTTATCTACCAGTTGAGCAAAAACAAAATTACTAAATATTGCTTTTCTTTAATCTATCATTGAATTCCCTATCACAGGTTTCAGATTTCACTAACTAGCCCTAAAGGTCGCCCTTCATTGGATCCGAATAGCAATGCGGATTTTCGACAGCAGTATTAAATACATGGGTTCATATGGGTCAACGTTCATTGCTTCCGGATTGAGATTGCGTTTTGGTACTAAACTATACTAAACTAAACGCAAACTCGACCGTAAGTTCCCCAAAATTTTACACCTTTCAAATCCTGCGGAAAATATTGCGGCAGAGAGCAAACAAATCGATTGTTTATATTGTTTTTACTTGTTTGAAATTGACCGGTTTTGATGAATGTTTTTTTTTTTTCAAAGTGAAAAACACTGCTGTTCTCTGTGGTAAGTAGATAGCCGGATCCGGATCATTTGTCTCTGTACACAGATTCCAGTTTCTTATACGGAACTCCACAAGAACGTACCGCTTCCCACCGAAACTTTCGCCGAAGAATGAATATTGACAAATTCAACTGGCATTATGAATCAAGTCCCACCCAACTAACAATTTTAGCTGCAGATTAACATATACGGCTAAAAATTGGATTATACATACTTTTACATAAATACAGTGTAACGATATAGATCTCACGCGACGAATGTTTTAGATTTCTATCATCTCTTCATGCAGTCGACGTGCCACCTACCGATGGGTATTGAGACCGGTGAGCTTTTATAGTAAAGTTTAAAACGAGTGACCATCAGAGGATCTCATTTAATTTTTTCTGGGCATTGGCACACATCTCACTCGGAGCTGCTTTTGTACGTTTTCCTATTTTGTTTTCCAAAATCTTGGAATTACGTAACTAAGCAAAAACGGCGCCGGTGGTGTAGTGGTAAGCGTGATTACCTCTCACCCCAGCAGGCCTGGGTTCAATCCCAGTCGGCGCCGCCGGGATGTTCTGAGGCATAACATCTCTAATCACGCCTTCCTTCGGATGGGAAGTAAAGCCGTTGGTCCCCGGTTCATGAGTTGATAGGTCGATAGGTAGGGTCCTCCAGGTGTTGTGGGAGCTGCCTTCCTGGCACGTCGGTAGCATTGGTGCTCAGCACGGAAAACAAGATCGACGGAAAAAACAAAAACAAAGGTAACTAAGCAAAAACAAAGCGGCACTGAGGAACTCTCCATACAAAGAGATGTGATAAAACCATATTAATTTTGTTCATTCCAAAGTGGATAGGCTTTGCTAAGGCAGACTTGATCGGGTCGAACCCAATTGTTCATTTGTTTTATCAAACCATTTCTAGGGGAACCTTAGACCAAAGTAGTTGTTTGCAAGTGGTGGCTATTAAGAAAAGAAAAGTGCTTCACGTGATAATCAGCACTTAAAGTGAGCTTAACTAAAAGTCCATTATTGATACTTTTAACCAATAATTTAATCTTTAAATTAGGCCAAAGTATCGCAGATATTACAAGTATTCTGCCCACTTCACCCTTAGGAAGGCTAAAGTGTAATAAAGTAGCCTTTAGGTAAGCCACCGTACTTAAAATTAGGTTTGGGTTGTAATGATGGTAACAGCACATCCCACTGTTTGACGTGGGAGTTTATGCGGAGCCGCATTTCCGTGGTGAGTGTACTACTTGGACGGAACACGTGCGAAATTGGATCTTTTCCGGCTGGAAAAGCGGTTCACGGGTCGATCGTTAGTTATCCCCGATTCACCCTAGGAACGTTCGCCGACCTCCCACCAAGGGGGCCAGAAAAAGCTACTATCGGAAGCTAACGCCTCAGCCGAGACAGTCCGTTCCACCAACGAGGCAGCTCTCCCACGTGACCGTTATTAGAAACCACGACTCGCCGTTACGTTACGATAAAAACATCGCACTTAGACTGTGTGCGCCATCTACCAGTTTTAGTGAAGAATCGTCGGTGGTGCCGTTGGACTGTGTGCGTGTCCTCGCTGCGTGTGAAAGGGATCGGCGTTATCGCACGCGTATGTAGCCTCACTGTGTTAGCAGCATAATTCGTTGAAGCTTGCATCCTTCGCCTATCACCGTTGGAGCATCCTGCCACCCACCGAAGAGAGTATGTCGCCGAACCAATAAGGTCAGACCAAACCATTGTTTCTTTTTTTAGAATACCTAGGATTAAGAACCAAAATTATAAAGTGCTGCAGGAGCCTAAACAAACCGTAGCATGTAGACGTCAACCAGTTAGAGTAGGCTAGTAAATGTTGAACGAATACACGGTTAAAATGTTCAAACCAGTGTAAATTTTGAATACAAATGCTCCAATGCTCTCTAACACAAATCTAGCCTTGATTATTTCGGTTGATGATTCCAAGGTTTTCGCGTAGCTTTTTGATCAGCTTGAAATTAATGATTGTATCTCCACTTTTTCGGGTTTGAATTCAAGATTGTTGTGAGGAATTTTGGGATTGAATGCCGCTTGTTTGGGAAAGTTAAAATGAGATCGGATGTTTGAAAAACCTACCAACTCGCCCTAGATTACGAGTCTCAGCCGTGTGTAAGAAACGCCTCAGCAGCCTCTCCCTCGGAGAGTGGCGCGTAAGCTGCTGTTGGTTGCGAGGACTAAAGCATTCCCCAACTAACATTTTCAGCTTTGTAAGCCAACTTTTCCAGCGTTGTGCTGTAAAGTAGCTGAAAAGAAGCTGCAGATACAGCTACAAGCAAAAGCTAGCAAAATAGTTTTGGAGAGCGTTTACTCAACTTTCTCACAACCATTATTCAATTTGTCAGTCGCACTGAATAACATCAGTCAATAAACGCTAATGTCACTTCTATACACACACTAATCAACTTTCAACTTGTAGCTGCAAAACAAAGCTAACAAAGTGAATATATTACTCATTTGATGGCTTCTAAACAACCAACCACTCTTGCTGAATAACATAAACATCAAAAGTGCTTTTTCAACAATTAAACAACCTGTACTTAGCTTATAAACTGTGTTTGAGCAACTTCGGAAGCATTTTCACAGTCAACTAGGTTTATTTTTAGACGTGTGCAGTTTTACAGCTTTTACTCTGCTCTTTTATAACTAGTCGAGAAAAGTGATTCGTGTGCACTATTATAAAGCCTCTACTCAGCGATTTTGTTGTAGAATGGAATGTTGATTTGTTTACATAAGTTCAAAGTGTTGGCGTAGCACAGTTGGTAGTGTCAATGTTTGCCAATGAGGTCGTCTCGAGTTCGATTCCAGGTTCTCTGGTGCAGGGTAAATAATTTGCTGATGATTTGTAACTAATTTCGATTAATTTGATTCACAGCAAAAACAAACTCAATAAATTCCTTCATAAAAAAGCGTAAACAGTATTTAACCCGGTTTTAAGAGAAAGCTTGTGTAGTGATTATTGGATAACCGGGAAAAGGTTGAATAAGCGTCTTTCAAGTTCACACACAACTAAACAGCAGGATAACAGCTGTATAGAAGCGTTAATGGATATGGAATAAGAGCTTCTCCCGACCGTTCCAACAGCCATAAGTAGCTGACTAAGTTCGCCAGATTTGCTTGTATAGAGGTTGAGTAAAGGTTTCCTCATATCGTATGAGGTTTGAATACAGCTTGAGGCTGTATAAATGAAATGAGTAAAGCGTCGTTTACATTGTGAAAATTGTTAGTTGGGTCGTTACAACAGTGTACCTCAAAATTGATCGTACACTCTAGAAGAATTTTTTTAGCATGGTGGTTTGCACCTTCTATCTAGATAAGTGATAAGATGATGATAAGATGATAAGATAAGATGAGAAAAGTCGTACTGAAGTTAATTTTGGTATCTATGACAGATACGTATTTCGACTGCAATGTGCAGTTATTCTCACTAAAGGAGGCTAGGTGGTTACTATTGTATCGACGACGTGACAACTGCTAGCATCTCAAACCGTCAACGTTCAACTCACGCCACATGTTTTGACATGTATGATGCCACATTACCGTTACACAAGTGGAGTATTGGTCTTAGATATTAACCAAAGATGGCAGGTTAATCAGGAAGCATTCGAGAGATCTCCATTTAATCGAAGATTTCAATAAAGTCTTCCAGATATTTTTCAAGACATCATGAGATTAAAATCTAGCCATCTACGCTTTAATAAAGAAAGATAAGACGATCATCTACATCAATTGAAAAATTCAAATTATGTCCCTCAGACATTTTATCAATATATACTGTCTATTAAAAAGTATTCAAAACACCGCAAGTGTGTTTTCAGATAAGACATCCGGATATTTTTCGTGACTGCAGATCTATCAATAATTATGAGAAAAATCTTTTTAACTGTTCAACAATTCAAATTACGTCTCTCAGATATTCTCCCACATGATTTTTTTCCCTTGACTTGTGTTCCGTCGATCTTGTTTTTTGTGCTGAGTATCAATGCTACCGACGCCAGAGAAGCAGCTCCCTCACCTGGACCCTACTTTTCGACCCATCAACTCATGCACCGGGGACCAACGGCTTTACATCCCTTCCGAAGGAAAGCGTGATCAGAGATTTTATGCCTCGGAAAATCCCGGCGGCGCCAACTGGGATTGAAACCCAGGCCTTTTGAGGTGAGAGGCAATCACGCTTACCACTTAGCCGACGCCGTTTTCTCACATATGATAACCATTGATCTTCTTTTAGCATTCTCATGTGATTTGAGATATCACATGATGGGTATCATGTTAAACCAAGCCATCAAGCATGTTTCTATAGACTCCCGAACTGTATAAACCGGAACATGTTCCGGCCATATCTCTGCAACCAGTTGACCGATTCCAAAAATATTCCATAGTGTTGACCACAATTCCTTTCATTTGGTGGTTGTTGCGTCCAATTCGGTCCGCTCGTTGCTGAGAAACACATATCTCAACTGTTGTAACACATACATATACAGACATTTTTTGATCTCGTCGAGCTGAGTCGAAAGGTATATTACATCGAAAGTTGGTTTCCCTAGCAATATGTTTACCCTTCTTTGTAAGAAGATAAATCCAATTAAATTACTATTGATTTCAGGCAATGGATTTGATAATTTTAGACGGTATGGAAAATCTTTTGTTCTAGCACTTTTTCAAAAATGCATTTTTGCATCTCAAACCAACGAAAAACCTTCTGGCAAGGAAAGGGTTAGTTGACATAAGTACTTGGAATGAAAATTTGTGAAAACCCAGCAAATATTTTGAGCTGAATAAAAGCTAGATAAGCTACTTTTTAGCTGAAGGATCATATTTTTGCCTGAATAAGCTCTTATTCAGCACATGGGAGTTTTTGGAGCTAATACTAAGAAATGTTTTTATAATGTAATATAATGTAATATAATGTTACGCAGTGTTGTCAACTTGTATATTTTTGCAATTTAAAACTTAAAATGTAAATAACTCAAAATGCCCCCACTTTTTTCTAATTTTGATAGCACCAAAATATTTGGCAGACATTTTTATATAAGAACCACCTAACCACCAAATACAACTTTTTTCGTTTGGGAGATATGGATTTTTAAAGATTTAATGTTTTTAAAAAATTCCATTACTGTACAACCCTTCAATATGAAACGTTGGACAATCCTAAAAGTTGATAGAAACGATGAAACCTGTAAGTTAGATGAGGATCTAATCCTTTTTTCATTTTATACAATCAAATGCTCAGATAATATTAAACCAGATTTGTTTCGACAGTGTTGCCATCTAGAAAATAGCACAGTATAGTATCACTTTTTTTCAAATGTGCATGAGCGGCTGCACAGATTTATACGCATCTGGCAGAAAAGTGCCGCTTTAATGTTCTCAGTTTGAAAACTGTGTGTGAAAGCCACGCGAATCAGTTCGAACGGTTTTATGCAGCTAAGCAGAAGCAGTGCTGCAACCCGTTAAAAGTGCATTCAAATATTCGCCGAAGAAATTTGAAAACAATTTCCAAACAATTTCACGACGATTTTAATCATCACGTAAAGGATGTTATTGAGGGTCGTAAAATCTGCGTTCAATGCGATAAGGCAGTAAGGGACAAGGCTTTGCAAGAGGAATCGTATAAGGGACCTCATGCTGAAAATAATAAGTTTGCGAATGGTGGTGAAATAATACGTTTCCTGTGCAAGAAATTACATTACATTACAAAAGACTATTTTTCGGCAGATGGAGCTGGGATTACTTGTCCAGTCGATGCATGGGAGGATGTAGACATACCGGGTAAGAAAAATGCCATTTGGGGGGTTGTGGGTCTTAAATTGTATAGGGGAATTTACGTATTCTCGGCAACCTAAGCAGCGACCTTCTTTCTATAGCCTTTTTCTCTATGGAACGCACACATATGCAGTATTGGTTTGTTTACAATATTTTGCTGCCAGCTGCTCTAACAGGAAGTTAAGTTAAAGTTAAGTTAAAGTTAAGTTAAAGCTAAGTAAAATTTAAGTTAAAGTTAAGTTAAAGTTAAATTAAAGTTAAGTTAAAGTTAAGTTAAAGTTAAGTTAAAGTTAAGTTGAAGTTTTGTTAAAGTTAAGTCAAAGTTAAGTTAAACTTAAGTTAAAGTTAAGTTAAAGTTAAGTTAAAGTTAAGTTAAAGTTAAAGTTAAGTTAAAGTTAAGTTAAAGTTAAGTTAAAGTTAAGTTAAAGTTAAGTTAAAGTTAAGTTAAAGTTAAGTTAAAGTTAAGTTAAAGTTAAGTTGAAGTTAAGTTAAAGTTTAGTTAAAGTTAAGTTAAAGTTTAGTTAAAGTTAAGTTAAAGTTGAGTTGAAGTTAAGTTAAAGTTAAGTTAAAGTTAAGTTAAAGTTAAGTTGAAGTTTTGTTAAAGTTAAGTCAAAGTTAAGTTAAAGTTAAGTTAAAGTTAAGTTAAAGTTAAGTTAAAGTTTAGTTAAAGTTAAGTTGAAGTTAAGTTAAAGTTTAGTTAAAGTTAAGTTAAAGTTTAGTTAAAGTTAAGTTAAAGTTGAGTTGAAGTTAAGTTAAAGTTAAGTTAAAGTTAAGTTAAAGTTTAGTTAAAGTTTAGTTAAAGTTAAGTTAAAGTTAAGTTAAAGTTAAGTTGAAATTATGTTAAAGTTAAGTTAAAATTAAGTTAAAGTTCAATTAAATATCATTTTATATTCTGTTTATACTCACGAGTGCGTGTGTGTGCATGTGTATGCGTGCGTTTTTGTGTTTGTGTACCTATTATAAATCACTACAATCAGCATTAGTTTACCAAAAACGATCCCTGCTGCTGCAAACCTTTCCCCACATCCAACATCCCAG